AATTTCTTTAAATTTCCGTATGTGCCATGTATATTGTATTTTATGTGTACTATATCAAACTTCTTAATTATGTTACTTGACTCCTGTAGATTTATCTTTTTGGTCTACTAAAACTTATAATTTCTAAGAAATGTGTCTTAACGTATGTGTGTTAATGCTTTCCACCTTGATTGTGGATTTCTTGTTTTGTTTTTTTTTTCCCTTCTATATTTCAGTATAACTGTCAGATGCACGAAAGACCATGGCTCCTATAGTTTTTGGTGAATTTTTTCCTTTTATCATGCTTTTACCTTGTGCTCTATTTTTCTTGATATTAATATTTACATATCTACTTCTGCTTCAATAGACATCTCTTTATTTTCCATTTTCATCATTTGCAGACATGTATGTCTGTTATGAGAAGCATATAGATTTATTTTTAAAACAAATGTGTAAGCTTCTGTATTTTAATAATATAGCCTATGAACAATTACTTACTTGAAATATATGAATTTGCTATTTTTATGGGTCAAAAATAGACAAACATTGATAATTCCACATGGTTAAATTTAATATTTAATTACTCATTTGTTTAAATTATTTCTGCCATCTTTATATTTTACATTCACATTTTTTATTGCTTATTTTTAATTATTAAATTTTAAATATTTTCCCTTTTATATTTTTGGTACATTTGATTGAGTTTTCTTTGTTCTGCATTTTTTCCTCCTTGTCACTGTTAAGAAGTTATATATAGTATATCCCCTACTATTTTTTTAATGGTTCTCTTTGAATACTTAACACATATATTTAGAATTTAGGTACCATTATTTAGCATTTAGAGTCTTCCCCTGACCAGAAGAAGTTCATAAAGTTTCACTTTCTTCCTCCCACATACTCATTCTCCAGGTTGTCATTTATTTATAAATTTTAGTTTCTGTTTCTTTATAGTACATATACAGAACTGCTTGGGCTAACCCATATTTTATCAGTTTCTTCATTCACTATTTTTTTCTGGCATCTGTCTTCCTCCATAGTTATTTCATTGTTTTATTGAGGTACATGCTCAATTATTACAGAAAAGGCCTGTGGGAGTGCAACTCATGACTCCTTATGTATATTGGAATGTCTGTATTTGAATTTCTCATTTGGTTGCTGGCTTGGCTGAGTATAGGATTTTAAGTTCAAAACAATTTTCCCTCATAATGTTTCCCACCACTGCCACCTAAGAAAATTCTGAAGCAATCTAATTCTGATTCCTTTGTATATAAACTGACTTTTCACCTTCTCTGAAGACTTTTAAGATTCTCCCTTTATCCTTCTGAAATTTAACCAGGATGTAGCTTGGTGTGGGTTTTCTCCTATTTGCTCTGTTCAGGAGTTGAGAGAACACTTACGTCTTGGGGGTCAAACCTTTCTTCCTCTCTGGAACCTTCCCCTCCTCCTCCTCTTTCTTTACCTTCTCTCCCTCCTCTTCCACCTTACCTTCTCCGTCTCCTCCTTCCTTCAGTCTTGCAAGTCCGATTTGAGACATTGGACCTGGATCTGCCCTTCATATCTTTTGTTTCTTCTTTCATATTTTCTTTCCTCTGTTCTTTGTCATTATGACCTGGAAAGATAGTCAGCTGATTATGCTGGTTAATTTCATTCTCTGCTGTCTCCATTATACTTTTGGACTTTTAACTGTTTTAAAGGATGCACTGTTTTGTTGTGTCTTTCTAAACACGTTACTTATGTAGTTTTAATTCTTTTCCTGTTTACTCTGTTAAGTCTTTTTACTAAATGTTAGCTCTGTTTATTGAATTTGGTGCCTCGTATTGTGCTAGTTTTCCTGAAATAGCGATGACATTTTGTTTGATGCTCATTTTTGTATTTAAGGATTCTTATTTGCTTACATATTTAGCTGTCTTGAGTGATTGTGGAAGGAAAATGGAATGAATTGCTGGGACCAGCGGCTTGTGTTCTTGCTATGTGGGCATCCCACCTCTCTACACAAGGGCAATGCTCTTTCACTCAAATCTTGCACAGTGCTCTGTACTGTGGGCAGTAACCTGCTTCTTACTTATTAACCCAATGAAAGGAGGACAAAGAGGTCTTGGTTCCCAACTGATCACCTGGGGTATCAACTTCTTGTTGTTATTCACTCTTGGCTTTAGATTCCTGAAGTTAGCGTCTGTCCACACCAGTCTTCTCCATAGATGTTACAGTACTATGATTTTCTATGATCTTATTTCTACTTTAATCAGATCTCATTTAAACTCTATCTTTTGTATTACTTCAATATTTCTGATTCATTGATGATACTCTTCATTGTCTTTCTAGGCACTTAAAAATTTATTTTGTTTTAAAATATCTACATTTTGTCATTTCACAGGGCTTTTAGGTGAGTGGTGGATTACATATAACCATTGAGTCTGCCATCTTTATTCAACCTCCCTCTAATTATAAGAAAAATTAAATTTAACTATCTTTACTTAGTGTTAATTGTACTTCAAAGAATTGTTTATGATATAATAAAATAATTACTGTTTCCAACAACAAAAAAAAAAAACCAAAACATATTTTATTATTTTGTGCTCACCTGTGGTAAGAGAAACAGCTGTTTCTCAAAAGGAAATAATGACATAAAATGAGAAGTGTCAGTGTAGCCACAAATGACAAACTGTGTTTTATGATGATTCTTTCTCTCCCTACAAATCTGTCTGCTGCTGAATGAGCATGTGTTAAATCAAATGAGAAGGGATATGCTTCCAAATTTGGTAGCATTTCTTACATTGGGCCATGGATATGTTCTCCTCACTTCCTTTTAAACACCTAGCCCTGAAGCATGGTACAGTTCTCAATTTGTCCACTTGAATTTTCTGACTTTCTATTGATTTGTATACAAATGTAGGATTAAAAAATATCTGTAACACTTGGAAATTTATAAAGTACCTTATAAGCTTCTAACTGGGAAGAAAAAGTTTGTCATATTGTAAAAGAAACAAAGCCACTTTTGTGGCTGAATTGTTAGACTTTGCTCAACACATGTACACCATACTCCCCAAAATGATTTTATCCTTGTGGCTGGGGTTCATTGTCATACTTAGCCTTTTGTGTAAGGAAGAAAAATAAAGATGGTAAGTAGGCCAAGTGATAAGTAATCTACAGATAGATAAAGATATATCCTATTTTAATGATTCTGCTTTTGCAGAATCTAGTCCAGATTCATTTTATGGTATAGTTAAAATGCTGTAGGAGGCTTACCTGAGACTAGAGTTCAGTGACTTTTTGAAGGTGTTGACTGCTCCTGAAGAAACCTTGCCAGTGCACAGAGGAATGAGGTGGGGTGAAAATACACCCACACAGAGTCATGGAGCCTCACAGTTACAGAGAAATAGGACAGTGTCCCAGAAGCAACCCTTCCTCCCTGGGCCAGATCTTGAATTCTAAGCAGGTTTCAAACTCCACTGTCCCATTCAGGAACATGTAGACTGCTGAGTGTGAAATTCAGATCTGAATTAGTGTTCACACCACCCACCAAGAAATGGCTGCTCCATGTGGTAAAAAAAAACTGGTCCATCCTTTTGACAGAGATGTTTCAAGTACCTAATTGATAAACGTTTCTATTGAGTGTGGAGATCATTCCCTGGCAGAAAGTCTATACTGACCCTGCAGAATTGGTTAGAATCCCTTTGTCTTGCCCTCAGAGCATGTATCTCAATCAAGAGCTACCTGCTCATTTCCTCATAGGTAGAAATTCTGAATCTCTGAGCAAGTATCCAGGAGAATTACTCAACCATCCTTCAAATTCACATGCAGTAGAAGATCTTCCACAAAGACTTTCCCCAGGGTCTTCCTTGTTCCTTCAGGAAATCAGCTCCATTCCCTAAGGGGAAGGAGAGTAAATAAATCAGAGAAGATGAGAGGGAGGATGGGAAGCTCACTCCCTATTATTGAGTGGCTCCCTGCTGCCTCCAGGATAATTTCTGTGTTCTTCCTATGGACACGTACGGCTCCCATTCTCTGTGCCCAGCTGATGTTGCAGGGAATAGTAGGGGAATCAGAGAGGAAGCAGGGACCAGACCAGGCAGAACTTGGCTTTAGCTCCAAGTAAGATGGGAGCCATTATAGGCTCTGAACATAGAGGGACAGTCTTCACCTTGTGTTTTATTCTACTCATTCTTCTGAAATACACCTCAAATTTCCGCAAAGAGACCCATTCACCCTAAGGACCCTCTCAAAGCATTCCTGCCTGTGGCAACCTCATTCCATCTTCAGTGCCCATCTCCAAGCCCCCTTCTACAGAAAGCCACTTGATTCCTCCAGCAAAATGTGCCTCCTCCTATGGATCAAATCTTACAAACACCTTTAGTACATGGCTTTGGCCAAGGTCTTACATTCTTTGCCTTGTACTTACTATTTGCAGTTAGATGCCACAGTAAGATGTGTCTTGCTCTGAGCCTCAGTTGAACAGCAATGCCTTGGGCATGGATGAGACTTTATACAGCAAAACAGGGCTGTGCCTTTTAGATAAGCCAGGTGTCTTCACAAGCTCTTCAGCTCAGATTCTGGGCCCTCAGTCACTTGCCAACAGTTATACCAACAGAGCCAACAGTTCAAGTTCATCCCCATGTCTAAAAACATAACAAATGTGGAGACTCATGTTCAACAGAGTTAAGACCAAATTATCATCCAACAATTTTTTTCCAAGTAAATTGCTTTAGACATAAAATCTGTTACCCTTTGGATGGAACTGACAGGAGTTCCTTGTCTCTTGCATTCATTTGGGTCTGGTATGGTGCTGTCATATTTGTGATCCTTATTTGTAACATTTTTCACTTAAAATGTAAGTCCTTTGGGGGTGGAAACCTCACAGAGATATTTGTTGACACTGCCTGTCCCTTTCCCCAGGTACCCTTGCTCAGAATATTTGAGATGAAATATTTTCATGGCTCCTCCAGGTCTCTTAGCCTTCAGTTGCCAATGAACTATACAAAAAATGAGGAACCAAAGGTAAACTTCTGCCTCTGTTATAACAGGATTTTGTGCCGCTGTATCAAAACTTTGAGAATTTTTATACACGGAACATTTACATGAGAATCAGAGACAACTGGAACCGGCCCATCTGCAGTGCCCCGGGGGCTCTGTTTGATGTGATGGAGAGGGTTACAGATGACTACAACTGGACATTTAGGTGAGGCAGCCACCTGGAGGGGCTTGGTTGAAAGAAAACCCTTTCAAGGAAATTCTAGCATGGGCACCAGATTACAGATTTGAAAAACCAAGGCATGGAACAGCTGGCCTTCTGTTTTTCAGCCCTTTGCAAGCCTTCCTGAGCCCATTGGGGGAAGTCACAATATTTAAGTGACCAAGGGTGGCTTGTTTGCATTGTAATGAAAGAGACATATGTATCAGAAGGTGCAAGGTACATAGAGCCAGCTGGGAAGAGTCCTTTTCAACTTTATTGACAAATTGTATCCTTCTCCTCCTTCTTGCTGCAGGAGACAGTGATGACCATTGCTCTTTCTCATTGGAAAGTTCTCGTTTAAATTTATACCAGAGCACAGGTGTCACAAACGCAAGCACCCAGGGAAAACCAGGGCTAAGTAATACTCCATGACCCAGAAACTTTTTCCTGATGCTCTGCCCAGCTTCATGATGGGCTTACTCTTCCCTAAGGGCAAAATAATGTGTGGTGACAATGGTGCAAATCAAAATTAAAAAAGAAAATATATGACTTGGGCCAAAGCTAAGATCTTTTTGTGAGAATCTTTTATGGGCACTGGGATGGCATTATGTGAGAAAGCCCCTTATGTTCACTGGCCCTTCTCTCTGCAGGTTTACTGGAAGAATCATCAAAGATGTCATCAACATGGGTTCCTATAACTTCCTTGGCCTGGCAGCCAAGTATGATGAATCCATGAGGACAGTAAAGGATGTGTTAGAGACGTATGGCCTAGGTGTGAGCAGCACCAGACAAGAAATGGGTATGTGCAGTCACTAGTTTGAAATTTTGTCCAGTCGGGTCTCAGATTCCTTGTGGCTACTTCTCAAATCCAGATCATGTTAGACTGTGTGACTCAAAAAGCTGTTATAAAAATGCAAAAGAAAAAGGAATATGAAGGTCTTTTTGAAAGTTTCAAACATTGTGCTCTTACCAGGCAGCTTAATAGTTAAGATTTTAATTCTCCAAAATAAATAAAAATAGTTCTTTCCTAACCACATTCTCTAAAAAAGCAGCTGTTATACCTCTTCCATCTGGTCCTTTTCTGGGTTTTTTCTCCCACTTTTCTTTTTTTCCACAGATTTATTGAGGTATAATCGATATTCAAAAAAAAAAAACAACCCTGTACTTAGTTATTTTACATAATTTGATGAGTTTGGACATATGCATACACTTGTGAAACCATCACCACAATTAAGGAAATAAACATATCCATCAACTCAGGAAGTTTGCTTCTCTCTTTTGTGGTAAGAACACTACATATGATATCTACTCTTTTTTTTTTTTTCTAAATAAAATTTTATTTTATTTTATTTTTATTTATTGAAGTCTAGTTGATTTATAAATTATATTAGTTTCAGGTGTACACCTAGTGATCCTATATTTAGAGATCTACCCTTTAACACAGTTTTCAAATGCACAACACAGTATTGTTAACTGTAGGCTCTATGAGCTAGGGCAGATGACCAGAACTTATTTATCCTACATGACTGAACTTTGTGCCCATTGAACAACTTCCCATTTGCATTTGGCTCTTTCTCTCACTTTTCTTAATGATGCCCATCACTGATCTTGCTTTTGTGCTTGTGTGTCACCCTTCTCTGCTACTAACATGTAAGGTTCATGAAGGGAGGAAGGGTCTTGTTGACTGTTGCATTGAATGAATGAATAATAAATGATGAATGAATGAACATGAAAGAGGGAGCAGACTGCTTATTTAATTCTCTTTTGGCTGACATTTTTCTCTTATTCAAAGCAGTAAAATCTCTGAGATGCAAACTTCTGCTCTCCCCACTTCAGGGAGGATGAGTGGACAAGTCTGTTCTGATAGAGAGTTTGGCTCTTCCTGGCAGCTTGTCTCTCATGTAGCATCTCATTCATTCCTTACAAAACCCTTTGTTAAAGGGGCAGCACAGGTCATCTCAAGGAGGAAACTGAGGATCACAGTGACTAAGAGACTTGCCCACAGGGCTGGATTCCCCGTCCTAACTCCCAGTCTAGCTCAACTTCTCTACTAAGCAGTTACCCATCTAGGTTAATCCATGCAGGGCTCACCAGGTCAGTTTCAGGCCTGTTTAAGGATCAGAAGTAAATCTGCGAAAAATGGATTTACCTTTAATGAAAAATGAGTCACATGCCCCTATTAGATAAGCAGTTGGTCAGAGGGCTTTAAAAACATGTAATTATGCAGACCTGTGCAACAAATAACAATTCAAATTGAACAAAGTAACTTCAAATTGAACAAAATAATAAGATAAAACTCCTATAGCCTTTGTGCATCAAGAAACACAGCAAATGTATATATGGCTGTTTATCTTCTGTACAAACTGGAAATTAATAGAGTAATGAATTATGGGAGGCTTTGAAAATCACATAGGTCAACTTAACATTCCTGATTAGAAACAAAAGTGAAAAAAATAAAAATATGAAATAGTGATGGAAGACCAACCATAAAGTATGCCCCAGTCTTTGAAAAATGAAAAAAAAAGACAAAGAGGACATTAGCAATGCAGCTGTTGAGTTTATTTTGATATTTGTATATTGAATATTGAAACTTAAAACATAAAAATGACTTTATCTTTTTAAGCACTTACTGAATTTTCATAAGATTGTGCTACATACTATGCCACAAAGTAAATCTCATTAAATTCCAGATAGTGACATCTATAAGTCATGTTGTTGGGTCACAGTGAAATAAAGCTAAAGATTAATAATAAAATTATAAATGAACCATTTTTAAAAATCACTTGAAAGGTTTTAAGCCCTCTCCTAAGTAAATCTTGAATCGATAGGGAGATGAAGTTACAATTACATCGTACTTAGAAAATAACAATGTGAGAGCACCATAGGATTCAACTAGTTGTATACTCAGAGGAAAATATGTATATTCTTAATTTACTAAAGAACAAAGTTTGAAGCTAGTAAATCACACAATTAGTGCAGTATGGAATAAAAGGAAAGCAAATGTACTTAATTATTAAAGATAAAAACAGAAGATTATGAATTAGAAAGCAGTAATTTCTATTGGGCTGAGACACCTATATGTTAATAAGACATTAGAGGAGATTCTGATGGCCAGCCAGAGTTGACAACCACTAAGCTAGCATAACCCTGATCCCAAAATTTGACTAGGAAGCATTTTTAAAAAAGGAAAATTATAAAGCAATATTACTTGGAGAAAATAATGTAAGAAATCAGTATTGCAAATTTAACAGTATATTCAAATAACAGAATTCCATGATCAAGTAGTTATATTCAGGGATTATAAAGATAGTTCAAGAAGGCAATTTGTAACATTGAAAGATCCAAGAAAGAAAACACATGATTATTTTGATACCTGGTGGCATTTTAGTCTGACACACTGCAGAAAATTCAAGTTCTCAGCAACACAGGAATGTGTCTGAAATCATGCCCACAATGGCTACCTAGTTTTACTTTAGAAATCTGAACCACAGCTACTCCATTTTGACTTTCAAATACATTTCTCTCCTAAATGGCCAAAGCAGATGACACCATTAATGATTTCATTGCTTTTCTAGATATGAGTAGATGGGAGAATTTGGGCTCATAAAATCTTTTCCTAAAAATATCTAAGGGCCTGTTCTGCCAGTTTTTTTCTCAGAGCACTGAGTGCCTCATTCCTGATCTCCACCCTGAACTTCTTTCTTTCAGTGTGTTGAAGGTCAGTGACTGCAGTGATTTGTAACTTAATTCTTATATAGACAGATGTCAAGTGACAATTTTTATTTGGCAGGGTCACTTAATGGTCATAACTTTGACCATGATCTGGGAAGCATTTCTAGGCCATTTCATCCCATGGTGATAGGAATTCTCATTTAAGTCAGGTGAGGATTTTATTGATAGATCACTCAATGTGCTACCACTGGACTAGGCCTTATTAACAGTAGCCAAAAGTCTCTAGACTGCCTGTCTTACTGGTCTGTTATGGTCCAGGAAAAAAAAATTCTCTTTTATTGCTTCTTCCCATATCTAGAGTTACATTATTACAATCATTGATCTCATATAAAACTATTATCTGATCAACTGCTTCAAGTTGCCTAGTCAGTTTTGCAAATAATGTAGCTAGCAGTATTGGTGAGGTCATTAGTAAGAATTTAACTCAAGAACCTCCATTAGGTGCAGCCCAGTATATCCCCAGGCTGTCTGACTTAGTCTGTTCTGTACCAATCCTTATCTTTCAGGAAAATTATATATTGGCATTGTCCATAAAGGACCCAGCCCAATTTCCTAGTGTTACTAGACTGGTTGTCCTTAGTATGATTTAATTGTTCCCAACATAAGGGGCCTTTAAACTTAAATATCCATAGCCTGTTGTTAACCACATAAATCAATCCCATAATTATTGGAGGTAATATTCTTTGGCTGAAGTTTTGGTTGTTGCTCTGATGGAGCTTGAGTAATTTTAGAAGAATATTCATATTTATGGCCAAGGTCAGAGCAGGTATTATTAATTGGCCATGTGAAGGGATCTCACCTAGTAATAACAACAGAGTCCTGAACAGAATATAATTTCTTTCTTCAGGAATAAATTTCCTAAGGGCCAACCAATAAGAGCCTCGGAGTGGAGAAATCAACCAACGTAATCTAGAAATACTGGATATAAGTAATTGACCATAGACCTAACAATTTGATTAACTTTATGCATAAGGTTGTGAAATACATCTGGTTCATAAGCAACCGTGTGAGCAATTATCAAAGTAATTAGTATACAGTCCTGGTCTGGTTCTTGGGTCAGCTGTCTACTTCAGATATTGTCTTCTCATTCTGGTCTGGTAGGTTCTCTGTTTGATCATTGTTTTAACGTGATTTTGAGGTCAGCAGTCCTCTCTGCAGACCAGCCCAGTGCAAAGGCCTTTTGTAAGTGAAAATATTAATCCAAGAATCAATTCCTTTCAGTTGCACTGTGCATGAGCTAGTTATAGGACCTGACAAATTTAGGTTTGTGATGGTCCTTTAAATTGTGTCTTTTCCAATATGCACAATCTCCTGGTTGCAGGTCTTGGAGCATTAGAACTTCATACAAAGATAGATTACTGAAATAAGCTTCAGAAACAAACTTAGGGTACCATTTTAATAATTCAATTAAACTTTATAATAATATAATGTAACAGCAAGGAGTTACCTGGGAAGTGATTCTTGGGCAGTAAGTACAGACCTCAATTATCAGAACTAGAATTTAATATTTGGTAAAACATATTTTTCTCTCTAAAATTACCCTCATCTCCACAAAAAACAGCCAAAGAAACACTAATTTGTTTGCAAAACAAGTCTAGTCAATTGACTATATGGGCTCCTCCAAATTGTCTGTGGTGGAATTTCCCAGAAGGAGTCTCAGACTGGGTTCCCAAAAGGCCTCTAAAGGCCAGGAAAGCCTTGCCATGGATTTGTCACAGATTTTGCCATACAGGTTTACATGAATTTCTCCTTTTTTGAGGTCCCCAAAATACCTTGAGATGCCTGCTCCCAGTAGAAGGTGGCCTTCCTAATTTATCTGATACAGCTACTGGGAAACTAAGAGTTTCCAATCTCTGGAGAGATCAGATACAGAGTAAAGATAAATGTTTCAAATTTGCTTACAAAGTTATAATTTACCAAATTGCTCAAAGTCACAATTAACTAAAGGCAAAGGGTTTCTCTATATCTGATAAACACAGGTTAAAAGCAAGTAATGTTTCAGACAGAAACCATAAAAAATATAGCCATGTTCACCAGTTCACTCAGCCCTATGTAATTAAATCTTTT